CCTACTTTCTAGAGCAGATATACTGTGCTGCACTCTAACCAGCAATTTTCAAGAGTTCCAGTTCCTCCACGTCCTCATCAACACTTGTATCGTCCATATTCTTAATTCTAGACTTCCAATAGGTGTGTGTTGGTACCTCAGCCTTATTTAAATTTGCATCTCCTAATTAGTAACTATGTTGTCATTATTTTCCATCTATATATTTTATTTGGTAAAATATATGTTCAAACTATATTGGGTTGTTTTCTCAATTTTTATTTTGAGAGTTTTTAAAAATATACCTTAGATTCGTGTCTATTTAGGATATGTGATTTACAAGTGTTCTCACCTGTGGCTCCTCTTTCCATCATCTGCAGAGCAGCTGTCACTGAACAGTGTGCCCACATGTGTGCCAACACTGCATTATGTTATTTCTATATATTTTTAATAAGATCTCAAAGTGGGCAGTGTCCATCCTCTAATTTCATGCTTCTTTTTCAAAGTCATTTCGGCTATTCCAGGTCTGTTGTACTTTCTTTTGAATTTTTGGATCAGTTTGTCAATTTCTTTTTCTTTTTTCTTTTTGTATTTTAGGGAAGGGTCTACAGGGTGTTCAGGGTCTCACTACTAGTTTGGACTTATAGTGATCCAACTGTTTACAGCCTCCTAAGAGCTGAGATTACAGGCTCCCGTGTGCACCACCATGCCCAGTCTCAATTGCCGTCTCAGCGTGCCCCTGGGGCAGGGCCAGCATGGCAGGCCTGGGGATCGAACCCCCATCCCCTGTGCCTGCTTTCGGGAGCTTTAATCTGTAGAGCTATTTGGCCGGCCCACAGTTAGTCAATTTCTACAAAAGCTAAATGCTATAGGGATTTTTAAAAACCAGTATTGTGTTTATTTTATACATCAGTTTGGAGAGAATTAATACCTAATTAATACAGCTTTTTGACCCAGAGCATTCATCCAAAGGGAGTTCACTGCCTGCCTACCTTCCTCACAGGAAATCTCAAAGAATCTCTTCAAACAGAAGAAAACTGACGTAGCCAGAAACCTGGATCTGTCAAGGGAGGGAGGCGTGACAGAGGAGCATACATGAAGGGCAGTAAGATCACTTATTTTCCTTACCCTTTACCATCAAAATCACTAATTATGGCTTTGTGGATTTCTCCTATTATTTTGCATCCAGCTTTTTGCAACAGTAGTAAGCATGTGTCTGAGACCTCGCAGGCCACCACAGAGGTTTGTGGCTCCAGAATGGGCCTCTCACCTCACGGGTGGGTCTGGTGCCATGAGTCAGTAGACAGAAGGCCGGGAAAGAACCCTAATGGAACAAGATTCAGCCCCAGATGCCCCAACCTCACCCAGCTGAGGCCCTTGGTATTGGAAATGGACCATGAAAGCTTTTGTCAGAGGGGACCACAGACCCCCTTGGCACAGGGACATTGTGCAGTGTTGTGGTAGAGAATGACAGGTGCAAGGGCATTGTAGTTGGACGGACGAGTTCAAACCCCAGCTCTGCCTCTTAGTAGCTGTATGACCTTGGGTGACTCACTCAATGTCTCTGGTCCAAATACTTTTCAGGGCAGCTGTGTCTGTTAAGGGTCTAACACGTGGAAAGGAGGCCGCCATGCAGCTATGCTGTTCATTTTCTTCCTCACTGGGCCACCTGTGACCCTCCCACTGAGCGGGAGGTCGGCGCACTCACAGAGGAGACATGCACCTGGGACGTCACGGCAAGCCCCCCTCCAGCGCCCCACCCCTACAGGGAGCGTGGTGCTGCAAGGAGCCAGGATTCACCATCATTTCTCAGTGGCCCTTAGAACTTAAATGCTTTTATGAGAGTTTACGGCTTGAGGAAACAGCTCTAAGCCCAAACAACCCAAAGAAACAACAAACCTCCTGCTCCCTTCCCCACCCAAGAGCAGAAGCATGGCGGTGGCTTCCCCTTGGCTCCAAGACCTTGACATCTTGGTTTCAGTATGATTCTATGAGGCATTCCTTGCTCGATAGTCAAAAGAGCGTCATTAGACACTTGAAAGAAGAGCTGTCAACAGCAAGGCTTGCCAAGGCCTGGGAACTGACCCACCTGTGTCTCCCGAGGACTCTCACCACTCCACAGCCACACATACCTTCTATTTCGTAACTGAGCAAGCTCCTTGTACCTCAGGGACTTTGCACGGGCTCTGCCCTCTCCTGGAAATGCTGTTATCCTGGCCTGCGCTGGCATCATGTTACTGAGGGACCTCCCCTATGCTGTCTGAAGCAGATCCTCTCCCTTCATTTCCATGTTTCCCTGTTCACCCCACACCCTCATTACAACTGGAATCATCTCAATCACTCACTGCTTGCTCCTCCCGGAGCACTATCGACATGGAACTGTGACTGGACACTATGGTCTCAATACATCTTGTCACCTCTGATACACACATCGCCATTTAATCGGCGTGGTGAGGTGTGAAAAGGGTGGAGACATCATCTGGCTGCGGGGTCTAGAGCATGGGTGTCTGAGAGGTGATTAGATGGGCCACTGGGGAGGCGTGTCTGTGATTGAGTCCTGGTGGCTTCATAGGAAGAAGGAAAAGAACATATCCGCGTGCACATGCACACACACACACACGCACACGCACCTCGCTGTCCCTCTCCACGTGCGCCTCCTTGGCACTCGGCAAGCAAGATGCTGTCACCAGATGTGGCTCCTCAACCCTGGTCGAGCCAAAATAAGAAGCATGAGCCAAAATAAATGTCTTTTCTGTGCAGCTTACTCGATCTGTGGCACTGCATCATGAGCAGCCCAACACGGGAGAAGACACTGAGAGATGCCCAGCGCCCACTCAGGGCGTGAGACTCACAAGCCCCAGCTGTCAATGAACAAATCCCGCCTGACCCCAATGCCCTTGGAGACACTCAGGTCTGCAGGCATCAGGGACCATATTTCATGCAGCTGGCCTGAGCCAGGTGTGCCACGGCCCAGCAGCCTCAAAGGCAGGGACTAGGCCCCGGAGCAGGGGAGTCTCAGGCCACTTGGAGGCCCAGGCAGGGGTGCAGGCTGCGGGGTGGTCAGCATGTTTCTCCTCTGTGTGGGGCACACAGGACGAGGAGGCGCTGCTCCTGAGGCCGACACCACAGCAGAGGCCCCCAGCCAGGGAGGACCAGCTTCCCGTCCTGTGCAAGGCCCCTCACCCTCCTGGTGGAGCTGCAGTGCTTTCCCCCAGTGGCCACGACTCTGTAATAACAACCGGCCCACTCCCTGCCACTCAGCCCGCCGAGCTGCAGCCAGGGCCAGGGCCAGGCCCCTACTCCCACCGAGGATGTATAGGCGCAGCCACAGAGGAGGCTCCTGGGGAGAAACGACTATTCCATAAAGGTTTCGTTTTTGTTGGCGGCCATCCACATCTCTACATTGTCATAAAAATTCAATAGGAAACTTCCATTTTAAAAAAAGGGGGGGGAGGTATCATTAAAAAGAAATAGGGACAGCTCCAACAGAGGCTGAGATTAAAGACCAAGAGGCCCAGGGCAGACGGGGAACTTTATGAGCTACCAGACAAAGAAAAACACACAGCGCAGAAAATGTGCTTTGTAGAGACAACCCTGGCTGCTGAGGGTGAGAGGAGCCATCCAGGCTGGGGCGCTGGTCTCTGAGGACCAGGACAGGTCCTTGAGGCCCCTGTGTGACTTGGTGGCTGCCCTGGACAGGGTGAGGCTGTGGGTAGGGACACCAGCAGGAGAGCCCCAGGCCCACAAGAAATACCAGAGCTCCGAGTATAGGAAGCTGGGGGGACGTTGGGTCTCCATGCAGGAGAGTCCCGCCCACTTTGGGCCCACAGAGGGTGAAATGAATCTGTCCAGTGGCAGGACATAGGGGCTGGCTTGCTGCCCCAGCAGGCCAGTGGAAGAGGGGAGTGCTTTCACCAGTCTGGGGTGAGCCAGGTCTGGAGCCGGCATCCAAGCTGCCAGGCTCAACTTGGTTTTTACCAAACTGCTCTGATTCTAAACACAGTGCGCGTTCACTATAGAAATTTTGGAAATGCAGCCTATCTCCAGGAGATCAAAAGTGGCCATTGGCACCCTTCTACCTGTCTATGCTAATCTACTGTCCTAACATTTTTACTTCTTAATCTTTGAAGAAAAAAAACACAGACTGTAAAGAAGAAACCAGGACAAAGGACTTGGCTCTTGGAAACCGGGACAGCCAGGGAGGAATAGCACCAAAGGAGACCAGAAAAGCGCCAGGGTGCTGGGGGAAAGGTCGGGTTAGCAGAAAGCAGCCCTGCCCAGCAGGATCCTGGGGGGCTCCAGGGAGAAAATTAGACTTTTAAAATGCGCGTATGGAGGGAAGCAAGGGTGCTGAGGCCTCAGGTTCTACTAGTAACTGGAGTAAGGCGTGGCCAGTGGCAACGGCTTACAGCTGGACCCCCTGCCGCCGCCCCAAGCCTCATGCACTCATAGGCAGGGCTGCGGGAGGTGTTTGCATCACCTGGCTCTGTGTTATTCTCTGAATCAGTCCACTGATGAGCTCGCAGCTAAATGTGCCATTCGAGGGTGGGGGTCTGGCCACGGGGGGGGGGGGGCTGCCGCTCTCTCCACACCCGCTCCTCCTTGCACTGTGCTTCCTGCCTCTGTGCCCTGAGCAGCTCTCCCCGCCGGGCCCCTCGGCCTTGCTCTCTTGCTTTGGGGCCAGCTGACTATGGACTGAAACAAAAGCCGAAGTGAACCTGGCCTCCCCTTCCTCTGGGGTGCTGGGTTTTATGTATCAGCAAGGAGGAAAGTGACTGAGACGTGGCTTGTCCCGGGAAGCATAGTCTACCTGGAAAATCCATGGCCACAGAAACACATCTGCCCTGGTTTCCAAGTTCAGCCCAGTTGGGGGTGGCTCCTGGTTCTGGATCCCATATTGTGGAATTAGGCGCATTAAAGGACAACGTTCTTGTCACTGCTTTATGTGTAATTTGGGGGGCTAGACCTCGGGACCCCTTCTTGAGAGATGATTAAATCCCAGGTGTCTGCAACAACAAGCTCACCCGGCAAGGAAGCAGCGCTGGTCTCCGCGACTGTTTCTGTTTTTGTTGTATCACCAGCAACGTGATCACCACCGCCGCGACCGTCATCACACTGAAGCTGACAAACAGGAAGGGAATGTTGCCTTGGCTGGGCCGAGCCACTTCCTGTTGCATTAGAGGCTATTTAGAAAGAAATAACAAGGGCTCTTGAGTGACATGCTTCAGTCAAAATGAAAATAGCTATCCTAATCCCTCAAAGAGATGACCTGTGTCATCCCAGGACTCAGAGTCCCTGGTTTGGGAATAGAGGACCATCAACCAGGAGTCCGGCAGAGCCAGAGGTGGGGAGGTGCCCAGGTGGCCTCCTGCGCTGTCCTCGGGCACCGCCTGGGCCACAGGGTTACGCCCCACAGGCTTATTGGGTCCTTGCCACTGGGGTCAGGGAAGCTCCATTGGGGGCAACACAGGCAAGACCGATGCCCCAGCTGCCTCCTGTTGGATGTGGGCTCCACGGGGCTTACTTGCCCCTCACTTCCAGCATGGCTTGAGCTTACCAGCACACCTTGCCCCCATAAGTGTCACCACAGCACAGGTCACTAGATAGACTCTCAGGAACAGAAAGAGACTGGAGATGCCCAGGTGAGCCCTCTTTTTCCACTATTGGAGGAGACCACAGCTGGGGCGGGGGAGCTCAGAGTCGGACCAAAACCCCAGCAGACAAGCCCCGCAACCCTGGGCCCACACTGCTTCTCGGCTCATACCAAAGAATCTGTACAGGAGAAAAGGGATTCCGTACTTCCTTCTTCTTAGAAAGCTGACAATTTTCAGGGACTATGAGAAACAAACCCTACCCAGATTTGTAGGAAAGGAAATTTCTGTAAAAACAAGCCCGTTTGGAGATGCTGCTGAGCTGGCCTTCATGAAGTGCTCGAGACTGGAAGCATACGGACTCTGGAATCAGCTTCATCCAGGCTAAATGCCCGTGTCTGAGGCAGTGAACATGGCTCTCTGTGGACAGAAACTGGCCTTGGAACAGGGCATTGGGCTTGTGCTTAAGCTTTTTTAATATATATATATATATTATATATAATATAAAAATATATATATTATATATATATATATACTTTCAAAAAGTACTTGTAACAATAAGTGCCATTGTTAGCCATGATGAAAAATAATTATAGAGATGCCTTGCAAGTTGGAAGACAATACAAGGCCCCAAATGCGGCCAAGGAAACACAGCTGCCCTGGACCTCACCCCCCTACCCAGGCGCAGTGACATGCATCTTCTGTCTCCGGCAAGCAGAGCAAAGAGGCAGGGTGTGTGGGGGCCAGGACTGGGTGAGGAGGTAGATTCCCCCTCCTCCACATCCTCCCAATAAACAGATTAGGTTCTCACTTAGAAACTGAACCGCGCCGTGGACAAAATGAAGAAAAAAACCAAACAAACATAATACATATGAAAGCAACCACGGATGCCACTGACAGTGATGTCTGCCGGCCAGGCGCTGCTTAAGAATGTTGTATGTGATACCTAATATAATACTAATAACATTGAGACGGATACTCCTGTGTTTAACAGAAGAAGAAACCGAGGCCGGGGAGCTTAGGTAACAGCCTACCTAAGGTCACACAGCTCGCATGCGCTGCGGTGGGGACTAAGTCAGGTAGGGTGGCGGCAGAGTTCCCCGACATTTCTCTATGTCCAGTGCCTTTAAATTCTCACATCTTTTAACTGAAGAGCTCTGATGAAAGCATAGGAAATCCGGTCCACACCCTCAGGTCCAAATGGACGCATCTGAAGACCACGGGTCCCGTGGCGTGGTTCTCACTACACGGAATTCCTCCAAGTGTACAGATGGCAAGGACAAGGCAGAGGCAGGCAGAAGTGAAGGCTGTCTCAGATCAATCAAGAAGACAACAGAGAAGGGAGAGAGGGATGATCAGATGGAGCCTGGGCCCCAAAGCCCCCTGCTGGGAACTTCCTCCTCTGCTGAACCCCACAAGACTGAATGAAGAGCAGCCCCATCTGATTGGCAAGAAGCAACTCTGGGGTTTCTCAGCCCAGCCTGCAGGGGACCTCCACTGCCTGCTCCCTGCTTTGTGCCCTCACAGCAGAACGGGCCCCAGGCAAAGAGAAGGATTGACAGAGCTCACAGGCTTGCGGTGGATAGAGCAGCCTCTCAGCCTCCCCTGTCCATGCCCTGGGCCTCTCATCAAAGGTGGCCGGAACCCAACACCCACAGCCCCATTCCATCCTCTGGGAAGCCTTTCCCGCTGCCCTGCAGCCATCAGTCTCTGCTACTGTCCCCACTGGCCGCAGCACCATTCCCAGGATCCTTTTAGGCCTTAGTGTGGCTGCAGGGCCAGGGTGTGGACCCTGGGGTCTTCCTCCTGCCCCAGGGCTGGCACAGACGGATGCCAACAGGCAGCAAGGTTTGCTCCTGGAGGGTGCGGGCAGAGCCCTGGGCTCCCTGGGAGCCTGGAGCTTCACCACCCCAGGAGCAGATGCCTTGCCCCTTTGCGCCTACAGGTCCTCCACCTGGACAAGATTGGGTGTCATCCCAGCTCCGCACGGGTCTCTGCAAATCGGAACCCAGGGCTGGGCTCCCAGGGACAGGTTTTGGAGACTGACAGAGACTAGCCAGCAGGGTCCTGCCCTTAGGCCCTTCCAGCTGGTCTGTCCTCAGCGAGCACAATCAGCAATGAATTGGCCCAGAGGAGAGAGAGGACACACACAGCCGACCCACACACCCGCTTTCCTACAAGCACACACACACACACACACACACACACGCAGCCTCACATTTGCACATGTATCCTCACACACACTAGCCCCAGTTACCCCACACACACGTGCACCCTCCCACATTTGCACACACAACCTCACAGACACACAATCTCACACACACTCAACCTCACACATTCATTCATGCAACCTCACACACTCAACCTCCCCTACAACTACAGGCCCTCAACCTTTTCACGTACAAATTCACAATACAACCCCATACACTCACGTATATGTACACACACATACACACATACTTGCTTACACAAGCACCAAAATGTACCAAGCCTGTGCAGGGGAGGTAAGTAAAGGCTCGTACACATCCTCTGATGCACTCAGGCTGTGATGGAATTCTCCATGGTTTCATAATTGTTGCCCTAATAGGACCTTGAGTTTCTAGAAGAAATGGTAAATAAAACTCAGGTTGCTGCTACAAACTTATACTAAGGAATATGGAGCATTTTTGTGACACTGGAGATGGAAAGGAGGGAGGCAGCGTGTGTTTGCCCTCTCCATCCACTGCCAGGAGACTACAGAAGCCAGGGAGGTGCTGCCTTTCAGAAATCCAGTAGGAGCTGAAGCGAATCCACACACATGCATACTGCAGACCCAGACAGGGAAACCGGTCAGATGTGACGCATCTGAGCGCCATCCAAGTAGCTCCCTCTCCCTGGGTGAGTTAGTGAGAAGGGCTTGCAGGCACCCCACAGGACTATGGCCATTCCCCCCGACCGTTCACCTTCTCCCCAGAGGCCTCTCACAAAGGCCTGTTTCTCAGGTTACCCACTCCTGCTTCCTCCCAAGACACATGGTAGATCTCAGCATCACTCCTGCGGTTGCAGTGTACAGCTGGGCTCAGGACAAGACATGATCCGTGGGTCTCAGCCCATGTGACCCCAGGCAGCCCTTTCATCTCGCTGAGCCTCAATAAATAAGGCAGCTAAAGCCATAGCAGTTCTTATGTCAAAGACAGAACCATGGACAAAGTCCAAATTCACCAGAAACAGCCATGACTGCTTGAAATGCCCAGTAGCTCCCAGAATGCCACTGACCAACTTGTCTCTGTCCTAACGGCCACATTTGGCTGATCAGTGGTAATGCATTTGGCCTGTATGCATTGACCAGGAAGTGCACTACTAAACAATGCTCCTCAGGAGCAAGAAAAAAGCCAGTATCTCTGCAAAAAAAATAGGAAATTCCAATCAACAGCAATGGCATGTAAGGTTTGAGTTATGGGGAGCTGTACATTTTATATTTGGCCATAGAGCTGACAGTGTACAGAAACTGTCCTGAAAGCCCTGAACTACTTCCATGACTCCTTTAGGGATCCAGGCTCTTGAGCTAAGAGGTACTATGTGCAGGGTGTTCTCTAAGTTTCTGGCATCCGATGATATCCAAGCTGAGAAATTCTGGCTGCCAAACTTGAAGCATATGGAGAGTCCCCTTCTACTCTGTGAGAATGTAATTTGCTATGATATGAGCTATTTTCCCTTTTTTTAAGTGTATTTGGTACAGGGTCTCACTATGCAGCTCAGACTCATAGAGATCTTCCTGTTTCAGCCTCCCCAGTGCTGGGATTACAGGCGTGCGCCACCACACCTAGTCAGTGGCCAGCTCATCACACCCAGGGGTCGGGCCCGCACAGCACGTGGTGCCGTGCCTCAAACCTCAGTCCCTGCGCTTGCCTAAGCAGGCACTTAGTCCACTGAGCTAGCTCACTGGTCCTTGTTTTTGTCTTTTTTAGACAGGATCTCACTATGCAGTTCAGTCTGGCCTTGAGCTCCTTTGCAGCCCAGGCTGGTCTTGAAGTCACAGTGATCCTCCGGCTTCAGCTTCCTGAGCGCTGGGATGACAGCCGTGCTCCACTGTGCCCTGCTGCTGTGATATGTATGGAGGGCAATTTCTGCAGTACATCTAAAAACCTTAACCTGGGTGTAGAATTTCCAATTCGGTATTAGGAAGTGGCTCCTACTGGTTCAATACTCCTGCGTATAAGATTTGTGAACAGTGAACAAAATGCAAAAATAAGATTAACTGAGAGCAGACAGAAACTGGAATTTGACCTTTGAAAGAAGGAACTGCACTGGGGAAGAGCCGTGACCGGGCTGCTTTCCTTGGAGGGTTCTTCCCAGTTTGCAGGTAGACAGTTGCTGGCTTATTGCTGACGGTGTCAGAGGACAGAGGTCTGAGGTGCAAGAGTGGCCAAAAATGAAGAGGGAAGTCATGGAAAGAGCTAAAACTTTTAGAAGCTGTGTGAAGATTTCAACTCCAGCTCACTGATTGAGAGACAGAAATTAGAGTCGGAATCCTGCCAGTTCAGTTCATCCAAGAGAGCTCTGTAGACACCCTGGGCATAAGATGGTAATCCATGGGAGTGGCATACGTAGAA